TTAGTTGAGTAAATGAAAACAAAATTACTGATTAACTAAGTATTGAATGTATTTATTTATAAGTAAAAATTTCTTGCATTTAATTCATGATAAACTGCAAAGTTTAAAGCGTTCAAACTAATTTTAAAATCTGATATACTGTTACTTCTGTCTTTTGGATAATACTGAAACTTATTAAGAGTCTATATTGAGCTTTTAATAAGTAAAACTGTATTAAGTTTACATTGATAAAGCAGTAATATGTATATATTTGAAACTAAAAATGATTTTAGTTAACCTTTTCTTTAATACACTATGTGATAATCATTGCCATACTACTTGTTGTTCACATGCCTTGTTCATTTGAATATGTGAAGTGTAATAACTTAGTCTTTTTTTCTTGGATTTAATTAGTTATAGTTATAATACTAACAGTTTAATAAAAAGTAATGAAATTTATATCATTATTACTTAGATTTAAGTATAAGTCACAAGTATCAGTTTGATGACTAAACGTAAATGAACTTTGAAATTCTCTACTTTTTACCCATTGAAAAAGCTTAAGATTTGAGTTATGAATATCTTTGAAAGTAGAAGTTTATAGTTCGATTAATTCCACATCAGCTATCTTCTACTTATACATCAATTTTTTAAGTAATTAACTCCATTTCTTAATAATTACAATAAAAGGTTTATTCAATTACTTTATCATCAAAAAGAAAGTGGAATTTACAATGATTTCTACATAGTTTTATTCGATGGAGAATAAAACTCCCTTTATCTATTTGACGATCAGTAGATGTTACTTACTGATATACCATACAAAAAACAGATATATACTTTAAGGTGTTACTGACTACCATCTCACATTTTAGTCTAAAGATAGATCTTTCCTAAGATTTTCTTCTGAGAAAAAGCGATAGAAGAAAACTTTAGTTTCAAAGAGTATTGCAATAACAAATCTACTAAGCAAAGATAAATAAAACAGTATTCTTGGTGATGTCGATAAATTATTCATTGCATAAAAAAAAATTTATTACTCCATACAAGGGAATAGGAAGTGCCTAGACCAAGTAAACTATTCTATGAACACTCGTAATTCTAAATACACACATGAAAAGAGAAAAATTATTTGTGCAACAAGAAATAACTAGTAATCAAGTCTCAGAGAAAACATTTTTATTTGTGTAAAAATAACAGCCACCAATTTGTCAAAAGCAAACAGTCTTGAAACCTACTGATCACTTAACACTAGTCAGTATCTACCCACCTAGTTACGAACTCTATCTATAAAATTTGATCAGCACCTGGGACTACATTACATAGCACTAGCTACTTTCCAATCACCAGTCTATGCCAGATCATTATTTCTTATTTACTACCTCATATACTAAATTAAACAGATAATTTACTTGATGATGATTAGCAGTTGAATCCATGACACACATTTCCTCTTCTTTGTGAATCATCAGGTGTATACACCTAAACTCCTGTTGGTGATGTTTCCCAATTACTACCCATAAACGGACTTCACTTAGGAACAGAAACAAAATCATCAACTTCAATCGGTATTGCACAAGATAATTCCAACTCAAAGATAAACATTTCGGTGCGGCATACTTTCCATGAATATATTAAATGTTGTTAACAGCCAGTGTGAAATTATTTACAGTAACTAAAATATCTCTCCTAGTTTACTATTTCACTAGTTACTAGCCGGTCATCAATGAAATCGGGGAGACGAAAATGACGCCGGTTGGTGAAAGCCTTCACGAAGCCGATTGGTCAGTGTGTCTTATCTTCTCTTCTCTTCTCTCGATGAAAGCAGAAGTGAACATGGGGACATGGAATGTCCGCACTATGTTTGAAGCTGTCTGGCAAGACTGTCCACATTGCAGGAGAGATGGGAAGGTGTAGCATAGAATGGCTAGGATATGAATCAGCGAGGAATCAGCAGATGGAATGGAAGTGGACTCTCCAAACTGTCAACTCGAGAGTCAATAATCTACTCGGATATTGTCAAACAGACAACAACCACGGGCACAGCACATTGCCTTTTCCACTGGCTATCATGATGTCCCCAACAGCATCAAAGGCTCTCTCCCATGCAGTGCGAACAAATCCCCTCCTCATCCAGTATCACGATCATGACAGGGAAATTCAACTCGAAATGAAGGAGAGTCACAATCATACAACGCTACACTGTACACCTATAAATAATGCAGGTGAAGAGGAGGAGGAGGAGGAGGAATTCTTCAGACAACTGCAGTCAGTAATGGACAAGACCGTGGCCCAGATGGTGACATCAAAATTTATTTTGATGGATGGGATGATATGAATGCCTACTGTGAGTGGACAACATAGGAAGAGAACAAACACATCATATGTCGAGAGGCACTCGGTGAATTAAGGAATGAGTATGGACAACTGTTTGAAGACTTCTGCGCATTGAATAACTTGGTGACTAGAGTCAGTGTGTACAAACACGTGGATATTCACAAAGTGACATGGATTTGATCTCACCAGACATCAGGACACACTAGAAATTAAATCGACTCGATTTCAGTCTCAAGAAAGTGGAGACGCAGCCTACTGGACAGAAGATGACGAAAGGGAGAAGATGTAGGTTCACACTACTCACACCACTATCTAGTGCAAAGAACCTGGCTTCAAAATCAAGTTGAAAGCCTTCACGGAAGCTGGTGATATACTACAGTTTGATTTCAACGCCCACCTAGAAACTGAACTGAAGGATGAAACTATATAGGACATCCTCATGTCAGCCAGTCATCAAGAAAAAATGACAGACATTGTGCAACATCCCTGAAGAAACCTGAGTGGAAGAACACTAGTACTCCTTGAAAGTGATGTGGAAGGAAACCTGCATAACTGTGTTAAGAAAGAATAAGAGAAAAGAAGACAAGACAAGGAATAGATATGGACGGACACACGGAAGCTGATAGAGGAGGAAGTGGGAGATGGTGATGGTGAAGCAGAAGAAGAAACTGCACAGTGCAGTGCAGTGCAGGGAAGAACAACGAAAAGATCAACCGACTACAACTTATAAAACACTACACTGGACAAAGAAAAGAAGATTGTGTGGAAAGACAAAAGACACTTCTATGACAGACTCGCAAGTGGAGCAGAACAGGCTGCAGGTAGGAGAGATCTGAAAACGTTGTGTTAAATAGCCAGATTATTATCTGGGCAGGGACGAGATCAACTCAGATGAAACAGGTGAAAGATAGTGGGAGGAACTTAGATAGCAAAGACGAGATACAAAGGAAAGGATGGACTGACCACCTCAAATAACTCTTGACTCAACTACCACCAACAACTGCAACTCATCCAGAAATACCAGCCGCAGCCTAGTCACAGAACTAATAGGTGAACACAAACCCTCCAATAAAAGCCGAATAGAAGTCCTTAATGTCATAAAGTTACTGGAGTCTGGGAAAGCAGCAGTATCAAATGGAATTCCGCCAGAAGCACTCAGAACTGACTCAGAGATATCAGCAGACATGTTCACACCACTACTGTAGAAGGTTTGGGAGGAAGGGAGAAAGAAAGAAAGGAAAATTACCTGCAGGTTGGAAGAAGGGCTTCTTTATCAGACTCCCAAAGAAGGGAAACCTAAGTCTTTGTAAGGACTGGAGCGGAATCATGCTCCTGTCCCTGCCACCCTAAGCCAAATATTAAACCGCATCATCCTGAAGAAACTACATGATCTAGATTAAAAACTTCGACCATAACATGCTGGCTGATTTCAGGAGGAACAAATCATGTGAGGATCAAATTTCAACGCTACACTATACATTATTATAGAACAGAGCATAGAATGGCAGTCAACCATTTACCTTGCCACAACTTCATCGACTGTGAAAAGGTCTTCGATAACGTTGACCGAAAAGTAAGTTGGAAACTGCTTCAACACTACTGTCTTAGTGACACAAACCTTCATTAACCTCATTCAACAACTACATGACAAGTGATTCACACCACAATGGAGTGAAAGTGAAGACAGGAGTAAGACCAGGTTGCCGCCTGCTATCACCGATGATCTGGACCAGATCATACAACAGACAGCTGTGAGGAGCTGTAAGAAGATGGTCATATGCTGGCTGAATAGATGACACAACCCCAGAAGATTTTGATCTCACCACTGGTGATGATTTATGTCTGTCACACAAATTCGAAGATCTACAGGAGAAGGCTAACAAGTTGACAGAAGAGGTAGGGTAGCGAAGACATGACTTTCTTCAGGTGAACAGAGTCGATGAAAATTCCCAACCAACATCCACCACTAACAACAACATGCACTAATCACCCACAACGGGAGAAATATAAAAGTTTTCTCTATCACCTACCTAGGTAATGAAGCATCGTTTGAACTGCAAGCCGCGGCGGTGGCACAAATGAGGATGTCAAAGCAGTCAGGATCGGAAAGACAGCAAGACACGCCTTCATTAATCTGAAATCAGTGTGGAGATGTACTGCACTGCACTCAGCATAAAGCGTGAACAAGATCCAGATTTTTAACACTAATGTCAAGTCAGTGCTTCTGTGTGATGGTTGAGAGACTTGGCGCTTTACGGAAAGCATTTCGAAGAAACTACAGACATACATCAACATCTGCCATCTACGCCCACTGACGATCAGATAACCAGAATAATGAGAATAAGCAACATAGAACTCACTCTGGCTTGGCAACGAACAAACCAAGAACCCATTGTCCAACAAATATGCAGAAGAAAGTGGAAATGGATTGTATTTGACTGGACATATACTGAAAAGACCGTTTAGGGAGATCACGCGTCAGGCCAGACCCTCGAGTGGATCCCAAGTGGGAAGTGACGAGTTGGGCGTCTGAGCTGAGGGTGACATGGAGGACATTATGTTAGGAAGAAATGGAAGCTTTTGGGGAGTCTTGGAGCCAGACTGAAAAGACTGCAGATAAGAGAGTGAAATGGCGACGTACTACTGAAGCCGTATATTCCACTAGGAAACCAAAAAACAAATAATAATAATAAAATATCTGGTTTAATGCGACTGCATATTGCTTTACAATAATTTTAAGTGACTTAAAAGAAGGCGAAATAATCTTTCCAACAAAAATGACTCTGGAGACAACAGAAACTTCATGCATACTTGTTGTAAGAAGTCAGTAGAAGTATTACCTACAAAAGTAAACAGTTTTCTGTTGAAACTATATATGATTCTGTGAACAATGTAGTTGAGTATAATGAGTAAGATTAAAGTTTGGATCAAGTCGGTTAGTTCGCATTTCTTTTAATACCTTTTTCATAATATAATATTCTGTACAATCGTAAGCAATAGGTTCAAAATCGGCATGAAACTTGTTAGCGAAGAATTCCAGACGTGATGGTATATATGGTAGGTTAGCTGCACCTATAATACACACAGCACGACGAACCCTTGAACTTTTACAGCCTTCTTCAAACCATGTGACATAACGTGCAACAAATCTTTTCCGTGGATCAGAATAATCAGTTTCATGAATTTCTTTACAAGCACCTGGTGCACCAATTTTTGGATTATGAGTAAGTGTAGGAAAAAATAATTCATCTGGATGCTTTTGTAAATGCCTTTCTGCCTTTATAGCATTAAGTATTTCGTTCGCTTTTGAATCAGTTTGATAGAAATGAACAAATTCCCGTTTTAAGGCCATATAAAAACTGCCTTTATTCCAAATAATCTGTAAATGAAAGAAAAAAAGAATGAAAGCCATAAAATGCTATATCATTAGTTTTCGTTAACATCCACTACTTTCGCCTACAGAAACCTCTTTATACACAACAATCTATAGAAGAAAGGTAACACCTTCAGTGTCCTTCTGCAGCGTCCACATATGATGAGTAAAATCTCATCTTCGTTTCATTTCTGTTATCAGTTTATTTAGGGTAGAAGTGCACATGAGATATTTCATAAACTGTGTGACCACTAAACATAAAAGCTTCATATATTACTGTGTGAATACATATTGGCTCTAAAGCCGTGATATGCATACAGTTTATCTTCAAAACGCTTTATTACCATTCTGGTAAAATATCCTACTATGATGTTAAACAATGAACCCTCAAAAAGAATGGTAAGAATCATCTTTGAATTAAGTAGTGAAAGATGAATGATTTTAAATTACAAGGAAATCGTAGGCTGAACAGATGGGCTGAAATATATTACAACAGGGTAAAACTACTTGTTTCAAAGTATGTTTTTCGCTGTCATGGAATCTAACAAAGTGAGAAAAACCAACGGGAGAAAAACGATGTAGGATCCTGAACAGGTATAAGTGTATCAAATCTACCACATTTAACAGTGTCAGAGGAGAATAAAGCAAATAAAGGTATGAAACAGACTTAAATATCAGTCCTGATAATATCACAGACATCAAAAAGCTTTTGTCACTGAAACTGATGAAGGTGAGTGTGCAATCAGTTCGTAAATGATTGCAGTGAGCATACCATTTAAGTAGCCAGGACTGTATAGTTATTCTCTTTGGCTAGATCTACTAATAGATGGTTCATAGTGTTATCTGATTAACTGGAGATAACTGGAGACTATCTTTCAACAGGAAACACTTCACCTAGGTTTCTTATTGTTTGGGATTTGTAAGCAGGGCGTATCTGCTATCCAGAAAGAAACTGATCTCTTCAAAGCAATCTCTACTGGAGAAAACCAGTACTGAGATCTGAAATGTTTTGATAGAGTTGTTCGGATCAATCACATGAAACAGCCAAACGTCAATCATAGTGTATTGAAGGAGTGAGTTCCTTTTGCTTGGTGGCGACATTACTAATCAAATGATAGACATCAGTCAGTTCCTAGGACCAGAAAACATGGACTTAGTTTCTTTGGAGTGATAAGTTGTTTGCACAAAAAAGAAAGAACGTTGGAATTTCAAAGGAAGAATAAGGACTGTTTGAACTGGGTTTCATTTTATCAACATGAATTCAAACACTTATCACCGCGTTTTAATACTAGTAAACTGATATCACATCAAACATCTATAGGCGCTATGGAAAAATGTTATGCGTTTAAATGGTTTAGTCTATCAAGAACTCACTAATTCAGCACTGGTTACTAAGTGATTTTTCCAGTACGATTTATTTCCTATTACTAAACCACGAATTACAAAGTCTTAAGCTGTCACCAGACAGCGTCGACCGAGAAGTAATTTGGAAACTGCTTCACTACTACGGAGTACCGCAAACCTTTATCAGCCTCATTCAATAACTATATGAAGATGCCACATGCCAACCAAGTAATTCACAATGGGAAGCTCAGTGATGATTTTGAAGTGGAGTGGAGACAGGAGTGAAACAAGGCTGCCTATTATCCCCCATGATATTCCTGATTGTGGTCGAATGGACTGGATCATGCAGCAAACAGTGGGGAGCTGTGAGAAGAGGGGGATACGCTAGCTGGACTGCGGAAAAGAACCTAGAAGATCTGGATTTCGTCAATGATGACTTGTGCCTGATGTCACACAAACCTGAAGATCTACAAGCGAAAACTAACAAGTTGGCAGAAGAGGCAGGGCAGCGAAGGAAGACGGGACTTCAAGTGAATATAGAGAAGACAGAAGTGATGAAGATACCGCACCAACAACTCCAACAACAACAACAAGCTCCAATCACCATCAGCGGGAGATACTTAAAGGAAGCAACCTCCTTCACCTACACCTATCTAGGCAGCACTGTTTCAACTACAGGTGGCACAGGCACAGACGAGGATGTCAAAGTCAGCCAGGATCGGAAAAGCAAGACAGGCATTCATTGGCCTGAAACCAGTGTGGAGATCTTCTTCACTAAGCCTAAAATGTGAACAAGATACGGATTTTCAACACCAACGTCAAGTCAGTGCTTCTGTGTGGTTGATGACAGACTTGGCGTGTCACGAAAGGGATTTCCAACAAACTACAGACATTCATCAACAACTGCTTACCCTGGCTCGCTACTGAAGATCAGATGGATTGCCAGAATAATGAGAATAAGCAACAAGGAACTCTGGCTGGTGACGAACCAGCCAACAACCTATCACTCAACAACTATGCAGGAGGAAGTGGAGATGTATTGGGCATGCACTGAGAAGGCCGACTGAGGACATCACGCGTCAGGCCAGTTGCTCGAGTGGAATCCCTATGGGAAGCGACGAGTTGGGTGTCCGTGGTGAAGGTGACATGGAGGGGATCGTGTGAGGAGGAAATGAGAGGTTGTGGGCTGTTGTGGAGCTAGGTTGAAAAGATTTCAGAGAAGAGAGTGTAATGGAGACGTGCTAGTGAATCCCTATGTTCCACTAGGAACCCAAGGGACTCATATAATAATATTCTGTCACCAGAAACTTCACTTTCAGTGTAGGCCATCAACCTTAATTTATCCAAGATTTTATGTACTGAAAACTTGACTAGTCACAATGGAATAGTTTGACCTATGTATTCTTTCCATTGTCTTCGCCAGAACGTGATATTTTTTCTGCTTTTTCAATTTAAGTCATGAACTGGACTATGACACTTTTTGTGTTTAACATATGAAGGTGTTATTGAATTATCTTCATGACAAAAATCAATAATGAAAGTAAAATTTATTGCATCAATAATGTTTGCAGTCTAGGTTCTCCCTAATTACCAATATCTGACTTCAGAAGTATGAAAGTGAATTGAAAAATTAAATGAAGCACTGGTATGAGTTTATATGCTACCAGGTAGAGAAAGTTGAAACATTATAGCAGATTTCAAGGTGTTAGGATAGTCTCTTGAAGCATATTGAAATAAGTTTGTAGTAAGCTTCAAAGTGTTCCAGTGAATTAAACATCCTAAAGCGGGGAGAAAAATAACAACAATATAGACATTTAATAATTGTTGTCTCAAGTTTATTGAAGAATTTATTAGAATACATGATAAGAAGGTAAGTAAGTAATGCTCTAGCAAATACTAACTGTAACACCGTAATGTTAAGAGATGCCAACAAAACAAACCCACAAACTCACTCAGTTTTAGTGATAAACTGTGTCAACGCATGCACCTGATCTGCTCAGATAGATAAAATGATTTGACCTACCAATTAACTAAGCTATGAATGCATTGATCAAACTAGTTACTATAGGTCATACAGGTCACAGATGCGTGTAGATTTGACTATATTTAGAAACATTTTCATCAATAAAATCAGTAATCTAGAAAAAAAACCAACTGTTACAATGTATGCCCTCAAATAACCATGTACTGGGGTAGAACAAAACCATAACAGTAATTATTAAGAGAAACAATATGTATATGATATTAATATTTATCTGAACAGATAATACATTGTTCAACTGGTGGTTCATGAAGACGGATTAATTTGAGAGCAGTTTCCATCAAGGAGTGAATACAAATGGTGGACCATGTAAAAACTGGGACCACTGAACTATTCCTAGGTCTTATTTTGCGGTTACTCCGTGCTGCCCAACCCTAAGCCTTTTTAGGTTTCGAGATTAGAATCTTCACATCTAGCATGGAGCAGGTCATCACTCAACTGAGCTTTCATACCGACAGAGTCAAGTAAGAAAAGTAAACTCGTTAACGATAAGCTATTGGAAAAATAGTGGTATGACTCTTGATCTAGGCGAAGTCTGATTATTCAGACTGTAGATTACCTATGAAACAGGCATATCGGACATCTTTCTGTTTAAGCAAACATCCTTCTCTCCTGTCGAATCACTCTTTTGAGCGTAGGAATAAAAGGTACCCAAGAGATAAACATTAGGCAAACGTATGTCCTCAATAACTCCTCTTCAGGCTCTAAACGTATACGTCCAAAGCGTTTTTTAATGGCTAATGTAACATAGGAAGAAAACAATATGTTATACAATAAGTGAATAGTAGTGATTGTAAGAATGTTGAATACGATTTCATGAGATCATTTATGAAATGGTCTGAAAAATTCTGTAAACACTGCACCGAAATAGGGTGAAATTTATTCAAGCGTAAGACATCACTATTAGTGAAGATATCAAAAAGTGGAAGTGAGGTAACTACAGCGTAACGGCAACCATGAAGTTAATACAGTGTGTAGGCCTAATGTTTTCAAAAAAACAAACAGTAGGTACAAAGAATAATAAAGAGCAATGGGTTAACCATTTGTCTATAACCACAGAAAATTAAACATGGTGATGAGCATGTTAGCAATCAGTTACCATATAAGGATATTTTGGCTCATCTGTCCCTACTTCTGTAGATTAGTGACATAGTGGGGTCGTATAATGGCGAGAGGAATGAATTATGGGTTACAGACTTGTACATACTCATACGATCCGATTCATATGCACAATTGACTAGTATCTATTGCGTCCCCTCTTATGATCTCTTCTGCCTTCGGACCTTATAGAAACAAATGCCGGACTAGGAAGTTTCAAAGAAAAAAGAGAAATTCAATTCCTTCCTTCTCTTTGCCACCTAAGAAAGTTAATAATAAAAATGTAAATTTGCATTTTGAGGGAGTTGTGGGGATTTGGAAATATTTCAAGTTGTTATTCATCGTAGACTGACATCAGTTGGAGGAACAAAAGAAACCTGAGAATACTGGACAGCTGTATCGTCCTAGCATGGGACTCCTCAGTAGTGTGCTATATCATGAGCTAACAGAAGTTGGAAATATGGACCACCGGATTCTGACCCAGTGGCTAAATGGTTAACGTTCTGGCCACGGAACCTGGGGGTCTCGGGTTCGATCCCTGGCGCAGTAGTGGGTGCGCACTGCTGAGGAGTCCAGTGTTGGGATAAAACAGCTGTCCTGTGCTCCCAGGTTTCCTATGTTCCTCCAACTGATGTCAGTCTACGATGAATAACAGCTTGAAATATAAATTCGCAATTGTTTCTAACCAGAAGCTACGGTTGATGTTCTCTAAGTATTTTCTAATTTACGTTACGAATTGCATTAATGTTCGATTTGACACAATTGAAATATACCGTTATGTACAGATTTGTTTCAATGATGGATTGTTTTCACTGGTACAAACTATTCATTGTAAATATAAAGTAGCTTTCCTTTAATTATATTTTGAAATAAAAGAAATCAGTGTTCAGTTAACTGTTTTGTCTACGTTGAATAAGGTAGAAAATTCAGAGTAGATGAAACCAGTGCATGGAATTTTGACAACTGAAAACGTGTTCCATTCATTATGCAAGTTTAGGTAAGCTTTGAATTGGAATGGTTTGGATAAATTAATTCTCTGTTCACATTATGACAGCATTCTATGAGTGTACGATGCTGGCATGCTTAATTTTCACATACTTTTTTAGTGTGATATACTTAATTAGGCGTTCAAGACATTCGGTATATTGTCGTGTAACGTTGTTTGTGTTGCCCATGCTTGATTGTTCACTAGTTACATATTTCAAACATCTGGGTTTCCTGGCACTCATCTTCAAGTAATAATTCCTTTCTGCAACAATTATTATTATTATTATATTATTATTATTATTATTATTATTATTATTATTAGTCCCTTGGGTTCCTAGTGGAACATAGGGATTCACTAGCACGTCTCCATTACACTCTCTTCTCTGAAATCTTTTCAACCTAGCTCCACAACAGCCCACAACCTCTCATTTCCTCCTCACACGATCCCCTCCATGTCACCTTCACCACGGACACCCAACTCGTCGCTTCCCATAGGGATTCCACTCGAGCAACTGGCCTGACGCGTGATGTCCTCAGTCGGCCTTCTCAGTGCATGCCCAATACATCTCCACTTCCTCCTGCATAGTTGTTGAGTGATAGGTTGTTGGCTGGTTCGTCACCAGCCAGAGTTCCTTGTTGCTTATTCTCATTATTCTGGCAATCCATCTGATCTTCAGTAGCGAGCCAGGGTAAGCAGTTGTTGATGAATGTCTGTAGTTTGTTGGAAATCCCTTTCGTGACACGCCAAGTCTGTCATCAACCACACAGAAGCACTGACTTGACGTTGGTGTTGAAAATCCGTATCTTGTTCACATTTTAGGCTTAGTGAAGAAGATCTCCACACTGGTTTCAGGCCAATGAATGCCTGTCTTGCTTTTCCGATCCTGGCTGACTTTGACATCCTCGTCTGTGCCTGTGCCACCTGTAGTTGAAACAGTGCTGCCTAGATAGGTGTAGGTGAAGGAGGTTGCTTCCTTTAAGTATCTCCCGCTGATGGTGATTGGAGCTTGTTGTTGTTGTTGGAGTTGTTGGTGCGGTATCTTCATCACTTCTGTCTTCTCTATATTCACTTGAAGTCCCGTCTTCCTTCGCTGCCCTGCCTCTTCTGCCAACTTGTTAGTTTTCGCTTGTAGATCTTCAGGTTTGTGTGACATCAGGCACAAGTCATCATTGACGAAATCCAGATCTTCTAGGTTCTTTTCCGCAGTCCAGCTAGCGTATCCCCCTCTCTCGCTCACTTCTTCAACAATAGATATGCTGTATTCTCTTACCTCTCTCAGAAGATGTATCTGATAAGGAAGCATTCATAGTTAATAAAAAAATAGTAATGTTTTTCTTTTATTCACAGCTGTGAATAAACGCCTGGATATCAATAATCAGAATATAATAAAAATGGCTTACAGGAAATGAAAAGTTTTTTTGAGGCCATCGTGATGGATTATGTCTGGGACCAAGACCTTCAACAACATTCGATCCATTTATTGCTTTCAGTGCTGCTACCAATTCCCAATTTGTTCTCAGGGGTAGTTCCTGTCCACTCACATTTAGAATATACTTCCACATATATTTAGTATTCTTCATTAGTTTATCTGCACACAGTAGAAACACCTCAAGTATGGAATAATAGCCCCATTGAACATCAACACTCTCTGACCGGTTGACTACCATAACATTAGAACCAAAGCATTTAGCCATCTCCATCACTTCATCATAAAACTGTTGTGGAGATTTAGAATCCACATGGATACAGTACAAGTTTTGTGGTCTGTAAATCAATCGAAGAAGACGAGATACTTGTCTAATGTTTTCATGGACAGATAAGCTGAATGCGAGTGGAAATTGTTCTTCTTCCATAGAGGAATGGACAGTATATCCTTGAAATAACTTGAACTCTTTACAAGTACTTGGATTTGATAGACTTGAATAGTCTTGATTCCAATTTGTCTGAATGCTTTCAACAACTCCATGACTAGAATTTTCCACAGGATTTTTGAATAAGTATTCACATATACGTTTTACTTCATGATAACGTTCAAATGAAAATAGATTTCTGTAATTTTTGTATTTATAAAGTGGATTAAACAATCGATGCACTATGAGCAATATTATAAATAAATAAATTCCCAAAATTACACTTTTGATTACATTATTTTTATATGATTTTCTATATAGTCTTTCAAGGCATAAGATAATCATTTGAGTCTTATGTCGAAGTATATTTCTCTATGATTCAATCTAACAATTTATATACAGTTAGTTTAGTATAATAGAGATACAATTTAGAATGGTGATTTGAGTTGATTCGATATGAAGAAAGAAAGAGAGACCAACAATTAGCTATTACTTTATGCATGCACTGGTTTAAAGTATGTTCAATTTTACTTGTTTTTATGGTATTAAACAAATAGTCTAGTTAGTTATACTGAAATATGATTTGATAATTATTTTATAACTTTTCTGGTGCAATCAACACTTTAATTGTAAGATTAAAAATATTAATTAAAAAAAAAAGCTTAACTCTTAACTAACTACTTGACCCAATTAGATGTTTTAAAACATAGTGAACAAGAGTCCTTTGAATTCTACGCAACACAAATACATAAGTATTTTCTGCTTTAAAATGTCACCTGTAGAATTAAACATGATTTTTGTGACAGTAAACAAGTAAATGCATGTAAATAAAATACTTTCTAGTGGTTAAACGTGAGTTATTAAAAAAATGTGTCATTTTCTTCTTTGGCACATTCAGTTGCCTGTTTAAGTGTTGTCTTTTTTATAAATTGGGGTCCAGTGGTAAGTGTGAACGTTGTCACATATGTACAGCGTCCTTGAATACATCGATCAAACAAATAATTTAATCTAGATGTAGTATTCATCATGGACTAACATTAGTTGCGGAACCATTGGAAATCTGTGAGCACTGGATAGCTATTTCATCCTAGTATTGCACATCTCAGCAGTACACACCAACCACCCAGCTAGGAATAGAACTCAGGAACTCCAGGTTTCACGGTGAACACGTTAACCAATCAACCACTGCGTCGGTTTCCAGTGGTTCACGACATAGTGCGACTGTCACCCAAGGTCTTCAGTTAGCATCCACTTCACTTCAGACTGGTTGACCCCACAGGTCACGGCTTCTCATTAGAGCTTCCTGATATCCATCTGGAAGCAACTCACTAATGAGCACTATACAGTAATGTATTTTTGAGATGAATGGGGATTTTTAACTTAAAAGTAGTATTCATCATGGACTGACACCAGTTGGGGAACCATTGAAAATCTGGGAGCATTGGACAGCTGTTTCGTCCTATTGTGGGACTCAGCTGGGTCATGGGTGCGTACTGCTGAGCAGTCCCATACTGGGACGAGACAGCTGTCCAATGCTACCAGATTTTCAATCGTTCCCCAAGTAATGCCAGTCCATGATGAATACTACTTCCAAATTAAAAATCTTCATTCACCTCAAAAATAATTTAATTATCATTTTGACTGTCTGAGATACCCGTGGTTTCCACACTAGTATTTATACTGGGTGATGATTGAAGGTGAAATAAAAATTTTGACCGCAACCGGATTTGAACCAAAGACCACCAGGTTTCCGTTGCGATACTCTACCAACTGTAATAGAACTCAGTAGCCTTGCAAAGTTGACAGTCTGTGGTTCTCGGCAGGAAGCCAATGATCACCTAGAAGGCTTAGATGTTTTTTGCTTATCAAACAACTCCCGTGACTTTATTATGGTAAGTAGTTATAAAGCATAAACTTCGTTGGAGAATCATGCATTTCACAAGAGTCTGATCTCTCTGACATACGAAAACCTCATAGTATTATAACGGATCCTTTCGAAGTGACTTGTACTGAGACACACGAGAGTGCCCAATTTGATATGCTTGTCCATGCTCCTCACCAAAAGATTTGAGGTTTTGTTCCCCAGCTACAAATATAAGCGTCAAAGTGTAATTTCGGTGACCAGTTACGCACTGAGCTGCCCAGTCGTTTAGTAGCCAACAGCAATATTCCAAAGCTTCACAAAAAGTTGGTTCATTTCAAAAAGTCAAAGACTTATGAATGACCCATGAAGATGTTATTAATGATTATCTGATTGAGTCCCCATTTACGGTCTATTGTAATGTTCTCAAGAGTTCATAATGCAGGTGTAAATCATGAAAAGGCATGGAAGCCATATGCGTATGATAGATCACGTACATGCAATAAAATATACACTTCGTCAACTGCCTTGGAACCGAATAGTGTCACATCATTCCATGTCGGATTTGTTTATTTGATATATAGCGCACAGTGATACAGTATTATTTAATTGATTACGTTTCGAGCATAAATTATTACTGCTCATAATCATATCAATGTAATCACATTTCTTTCGATATCTGATTTTATAGTCCTGTCACCTGATCTCTCTTTGTTTTCATTTTTTTGTTGATTGGTAGTAAAGTTTTCCATATCTCTGGAATAGGTGTTGCGTCATTCCTATTACTTGTGTTGGGTGTGGATTCGATGAACAAAGATTCAGTAATTAATCTCTCTCTCTCTCTCCACCTAGCTATATTAGACTTAAGTACAGTGGTTTTGTCCCACCCTATTGTGTGGTTGTGTGTTAATGAATGTAATGCAATGGCCGAGTGTTTTTCTAGATTACTGATCTTATTGGGGTCTATTAATATAAGTGAAAAACTTGGGCACTGTGGTAGAATGTAGTTCCATATTAGATTTGTTTATTTGATATATAGCGCACAGTGATACAGTATTATTTAATTGATTACGTTTCGAGCATAAATTATTACTGCTCATAATCATATCATATCATATTGGGGTCTGTCGTTCAATGTTTAGCTAAATTCCTATGTTCTGTTAATCTAACTGACCCCGACCGGCTAGTTTGACCTATGTATTTGACCTCACAGTCATTACATGGAATTTGGTAGATTATATTATTTTGCTTAATTGGTTCTATCGGATCTTTTAGCCGACAAAGCTTACCTCTAAGTGAGTTTGTTGGTTTAAATGCCACCCTAATTCCAACCTTGTTGAGAATCCCCAGTATGGTTTCTGATGTTCCTTCCTTGTATGGTATCACAATGGAGGTGTTGATTTCCTTTCTACTTATGTTGTCGCTATTATTTGTATTTGTATTAGTGTTATAATTTTGCTTCTTCATGTTAAAAGTGCAGTTATGCTTGACCTCGACAGTCTTGAAGTTTCAGGGAAAGATATATAGACAAACAGAAGGAGTAGCCATGAGATTACCAATATCCCATATAGTAGCAGATATATTTTTGGATAGTTGGGAAGATATGGCTTTACGAACATATAATCCGACACCTAAGATATGGTGGCGATACGTGGATGACACATTAACTGTGTTGAAATAGGAACATATCGACAGTTTCTTGACACACATAAACTCAGTAGTTAACACAATCTAATTCACTTATGAAGTGGAAAACGAACAAGGAGAATTACCTATGTTGGATTGCAGAATAAAACGAAGGATAGATGGTGGTTTAGATACTACCGTCTACAGAAAACCAACACATTCTAACAGATATCTAGACTTCAAGTCATCTCATGAAGTGTCAGTTAAAGCGGGTTTAGTCAAATGTCTAAATAACAGAGCTAAGAAACTCACTAGTCGTTGTAAGGACTTAAATAAGGGATTGACACACATAAAAGAAGCTTTAATAATTAATAATTATCCCCATAATTTCATTAAGAAATTCACACAAACACATAAGAAGCAAAGTAATAACACTAATACAAATACAAATAATAGTGACAACATAAGTAGAAAGGAAATCAACACCTCTATTGTGATACCATACAAGGAAGGAACATCAGAAACCATACTGGGGATTCTCAACAAGGTTGGAATTAGGGTGGCATTTAAACCAACAAACTCACTTAGAGGTAAGCTTTGTCGGCTAAAAGATCCGATAGAACCAATTAGCAAAATAATATAATCTACCAAATTCCATGTAATGACTGTGAGGTCAAATACATAGGTCAAACTAGCCGGTCGGGGTCAGTTAGATTAGCAGAACATAGGAATTTAGCTAAACATTGAACGACAGACCCCAATAAGATCAGTAATCTAGAAAAACACTCGGCCATTGCATTACATTCATTAACACACAACCACACAATAGGGTGGGACAAAACCACTGTACTTAAGTCTAATATAGCTAGGTGGAGAGAGAGAGAGAGATTAATTACTGAATCTTTGTTCATCGAATCCACACCCAACACAAGTAATAGGAATGACGCAACACCTATTCCAGAGATATGGAAAACTTTACTACCAATCAACAAAAAAATAAAAACAAAGAGAGATCAGGTGACAGGACTATAAAATCAGATATCGAAAGAAATGTGATTACATTGATATGATTATGAGCAGTAATAATTTATGCTCGAAACGTAATCAATTAAATAATACTGTATCACTGTGCGCTATATATCAAATAAACAAATCTAATATGGAATTTCATTCTACCACAGTGCCCAACTTTTACGCTTATAGTATCACATCACGCTATTCATGTGGGAAATTTCACTTTCGAAATAGGTGTTACCTTTGTAAGGCTAGTTGTCTTAAAGTGGTGAAACTGGACACAAGTGCAGAATTTCAAATGCACTAACTCCCTAGACATTTTATGTCTCTTCTTATATGTCTTCTCAAACTGAATCATTTTCTCTTTTGATAGTTCAGAATGTCCAGTCCCATTTAGTGAAAACTCTGACTACTGGGTCAGGCAAATTCCATTCATTTATTATTGACACTGACAGCGTTGTGAAATTATCAATAGAATTTGTTCACTGTTCAGCACTAGATAACATGAGACAACAGTGATCAGTCAGTGTATGTAACTCGTTCTTACAGGAGGTCAGTCACAGGTCAAATAGCCCGGTGGCAACATGGCTGACTGCAACACTAAGTGATGTGGACTCGAATCTCACAGGGAAATCAGTTCTCTCGAAGTTGAAGTTTCGCCTCGATGATGAGTGCAAAAATGCCCAGAATCTAGATCCATAGCTTCCCGCCAAGTGCCTCATATCAAATGACAATGGGAATGTAAGGTCTATAACATCTATGAAGGATTTGTTATTACTTTCAGATGATGCACAGTTAAAACCTACAAGTAGTTCGATAACAAGCATAACGCCGTAATTTTGTTTTATTGATAGTGTTAACATTTCTCTGACTGGAGATAATGAAGGCTTCATCAAGCTTTCTTTCCCAGTTTGTGAGCGTGATCCATCTGTCATGAGGCTGAAGGCTCTCAAATTATTAGATATCCAGATAACCCTGTGCACTAAACTTTTTGATAATTCCTCCCTGGAATATCTTATGCTGTCCAAATTCTGTAGGTTCTAGGAATATTCGGACGATAAATTTGGGAATAAAGGGGGTTAAATTTTTTCTGAAGCTTAGATTGATTCCATGCGGCTTAAGAGA